GATATTATTAGTTAGATGTGTCTTCATGCTGATATTATGCATCAGATGTTTTTTACTGTTTATCAGCTGGTTCCACAAATTTTTAGGAAAATATGATGAGGCATATCCTGTAAATGTTCTTAAAAATATGGGTTAGAGTGTCTACTTTTCTGGTGTGTATATGCAGTTTGTTTTTCCTGACACAGTGACTTAAAGTTAATGAAATGAAAGCAAAATGAAAGCATAACTAGTTTTTAACCTAGAGTAACATCTCTTGATTTTGAAAGTAATATTGTAAACTCTGCAGCAGCTTTTAGAAATGTATTATAATAATTATTTTCTTTCGTTTGTGAATTTACTATTGCTTTGACAGTGTGCATTTTTCTGCATTGTTGAATTCATGGACTTAAATAATTGTACTTACTCATTGCAGCAGCAGTTTTATGGATTTTTATGCTATAAACATTATGTTATATATTTATATTTTTTCTTTGGATGTGAACATTAGAGGCTTAACTGATTTTCTTCATTTGCTTCCTTTATTCTGTCTTTATTTCATTTTCTCATCTCATCATTCAGATGAAGTTCTTTACTTGCAGCGTCATCATGTCTGTATTTCTACAAGTCTGCAGCCAAAATCCTCTGCGCTATTGGACTCTGCTCCCCAACAGTATGTTTTTTTATTTCCATGAGAACACACTACTCCAATTTTATACAATAGAACTTATAACATTAACCTTTTGTTTAATGGTCGTTGCTAGTTCTGGTTGTGGAGGTGAACGGCTCTCTGGGCCAGCAGCCCCTGAGCTGCTTGGGCTCGCCACAGGAGGGGACGAGGAAAGACGACAAGAGTCAGGACATTATTTGGAGGAAGAATGGAGTAGTGGAAGAACAGAGGGGAAACTCGTACTTGGTGCAGCTGGAGGAAAGTTTAGGTGGGGGCAACTACACATGCCACAGAGAGGACGGATCACTGGTCAATCACACTGTGGTTCTGATACAGGAGGACCAAACCGAGAGGAGGAAGATTCTTGTGAAAACTGATCAAGGTACAGTCTGATTTAATATGAGAACATTTAAAAATATTTCAACGCATTAATCGCCTTTGTCTGACTTTTTCTAATTAGAGGATTACTTGACGTGCTTGGCTCAAAATTACAACGGAGAGTTTCACTGCTCTTGGACCTGGAACAGAAATCGTGTTGGCAAAGTAGCATTGATCCAGGTTGGGCGGTAAGTTTGCAAATTTCGTGAATGTTTTCTGTTTCCCTCTCTGTTATTAACACAGTGTTCAGACTCCTATCAGAGTTGAGACCATACAATTGCTCCATTAAGGAAAATAACCTCCTCATTGTGCTGGGCAATTAAACAATATCAATAATTAATACTGTGTAATGTAATGTAATCAATAGCAATGTGACAAAAGTCAAATATATATCCATGTATGCATTGTGCAATCCCAGTGAAGAGGAACAACACAATAGATCTACATCAGATTTGTAAAATGTTTTTTTAAACAAAGAAAAAATAATGTGACATTTACGGTGATAATTATCGATAACGACTCATATGTACATTTTAATTTTGTGTATAATTTTTGTCCAGCCCTGCCTCCTCATGAAAGGGAACAAAGTATTTTTAAGGTCCTGATCATGTGTTATATGTTATATAAAAACGATACAGCTGTAATAATTTGAAATGGTAGATGTTGGGCTGCGACGGTGTCTTGATCAGTCATCCGTTTTTCAGAATTTGTTGGAGTTTTATCAATTTTCTATTTGTTGTAGCATTTCTAACGACAGTGACGCCCAGTGTTCTGTGGACGTCAGTACCCAGCGCTGGACGTGCTCCTCAGGTCAGAGTAACTTCAGCTGCTCAGTCGATGAACATGGACACAGGATCTCCTGCCGAGACGAGCAGCACTGCCCCTACGCTGAGGAGATCCAGCAGATCTACGTCACTTTGTACGTGAGGACCGAGCAATTCTTGGTGGAGAACTACTCTAAACAGTTTTACCTGGCAGAGATAGGTGCGATATCTCTGAGAGACTTGTCCTGCAAGATGTTTTCTTTTTGTGATTTTATATTCATGTCTTTGTTTTCATCTCACTCCATCTTCTGCTGTAACCCTCGATAGTGAAACCTGACATGGTGAGGATAAGTGAGGTCAACACCTCAATGATTGAGTGGAGTTACCCGAGCTCGTGGAGCAGTCCCTACTCCTACTTCCCTCTTACTTTCCAGATCTCACAGTTCAGGCGGGGATGCAAAGGGTGTGACAACCCCTGCACTGAGTCAAAACCTGCAAAGGTAAGAGGAACCCATTGACTCTGATGTCAATTCTATATAAGAGAAGTACAAGTTATAATGGAATTTCAAACTTACTGCACATAAATGCATCAAATGAAAGAAAATCCCTGGAATTTTTGGCTGAATTCCACATTTGAAAGGGTAAGTATGGAATAATGTAATTGACTGATATGTGATGTTTATTTCGAAGACCCTGATGGTCCATTTCACAGACGTTTGCCAATTTAAAGTCAAGCACAAGGCCAAGGCTGTGTGTGTCCGAGCAAAGGATGCTCTCTGTAACTCCCAGTGGAGCGAATGGAGCCACCTCAGGTCAGTGCCCCCTAGTGGTGCAACACTGCACATTAAAGGAATAGTTCATAGAAAAAATGAAAATTCCCTCATTATCTACTCACCCCTATGCCAATGGAGTCCACAAAAATCTTCTGGTGCCTCATAAATGTGCAATAGGCCAGGGGGGGTTTAACTCCATTTTTTCACTCAGCTTATGTTTGGAAGTTGAGAATTGATCCAGACTAACGTCCTTTTCTTTCGTCTTCTATTACAGATTGAGGAGAAACAATAAGAACAAACACCGGCAAAATGATAAACAAGGGTAACAGAAAAGCGAGGATCCAAACATTTGACATCTTTGACTTTGTAAAGTTTTGCTCATCTATATGCTTTTATATATTCCTATTTATCCTATCTTATATAATTCTGTTTTTAATGTGTAATTATAAATTATTATAATGAAATAAAGGGAAATTACCTTTTTTCTTCTTGTTAAAATATCACTATGACACGTAAACCTCTTACTGTATTTTGGATTATCATTTGAATTCGCAATTAAAATCAGCTACATCATTGTCCTGGTCATAAGTTATTCAAGAAATCAAATGCAAATCCATCTGTTAATGGAGACTTTTCTCAGACTTAAAGGTCATCCTCATGATGTTTTCACTAGCTTGTTTCATCTAAATTGTATGAATTGTAGTTTTCTTTACCCCAAAAAAGGCCCTTTATATTTAAATACTTTATATTTACATCGAGGGGACCCTCTCTACGGAGGCCACCGTGTTTTTTACATTAGTCCAGACTTGACAAACTAAACACCTTTGAGTTTTTATGACAACTAAAGGCTACCACAGTTTCTTTTTCATGTTTTGAAGGGGAGGATAAGACGAGGGGTTTTCAGCTGCAACATGCAATGTCAACAATAGATATCACAAAATTCTACACACTGTACCTTTAAATGCAAAGTTTTCTATAGCACTGAATGTGTATTCATTCTTCCCTTGACGAGCGTTCTACTCATAACGGCCTCATGTAGGGACCAGAGACAGGAACAGTTGTTTCTATTTCACCAAACAAACAACAGGTTTAAATGTCATCAGTTTTCCCTGAGTTTTTAAGGTTTTTCCCTCAACAGTCAAGTGAGGGTGAAAGCTCTCCTCACTAGACAACAAATCACCATCTGGATGATGAGAGGGCACATTCTGTTTTCATGTTGCGATCCCCTCAATCTTGCTCTCACTGTCATTCACACCGTTGCTACCATTTGCCAGACATACCATCAAACCAACCTTTAGTGGAACAGTATCATCCTGCACCCGTCGAACATCATAAAACCACTTCTTGATGTGTATCGGCTGACAAAGTGAAATTACAGCCTGTAAACTAATGTTAATGAGTAAATGGTGTAGACTGCTTATGCTACCTGAATTTACAGTAATATGAAAACTGAGCTCCCAGACAGAGTTCCTCAATATGCTGTGCTGTAAATGTCCCTCTGAGGGGAAACGGGTACCCAGTATATTGACATTTAAATGCTAGTAGCAGGGCATTGACCTTGTGATTAACACAAGTCATCCCCATAACCAGAAACTTTTTCTTTTCCTTCAGCAGAGGAAGTGTTGACCAAACAAAAGTTTCAACAAAACTTTGGAAGAGACGTGGTCCACGAAAGATTCCATTCAATTGTAGCAAGGATCACCTTCTCTGATGTTGAGACACTGTTTTGTAACATTTGCACTGATTTCCCAGAGAATAATTCAAGGATCTCGATGAAAAGAATCAGTCATGTTGAGGGGTCTGATATTGACGAGTGTGAACAATTTGGTGCAGATCCAAACACAAAATCTGGACTTATTAAATTTAAATGTGGTTTCATAAGGGGTCTGTTGGGCCTTGTCAGAGATATGTGCTCTACTGAGGGACATTCTAGTTTATTGAGTTGTCAGTCTCAGTAGCTACGTCTTGCTAAGATTCTTCACTTGTGACCTTTTCAGAGAAAGGGTTGTTGACTTTTGACCCCTTATCTCAGGTTATGACCATAGCGTGGACATGAGTTGTGGGCAGCTGTGAACCAAAGAGTAGTTTTATATTCTCTGCAACTAACACAGTGTTTCACTAGAAAATCTGTGTATATTCACAGCATTTTGTGAAACAACAATACCTGTATTGTTTTTGTGGCCGGAGGCATTATGTTTTCAGGTTATCTGTCCATTCCATTCTTGAAAACATTATCACAAGAAAGTTTGAGGGAATTCATTCAAATTAGTTATAAATGTTCAGTTTGGCTTGAGGACAAACTGATTAACTCACTGACACGCTCACTGTAAACTCACAAAACACATTTGTACACTTGTAAATTCATAATCTCAGAAATAGGTTGAGGGAATTTTTTCCCTTTGGACTCAAAGATGACCTAAATAGAATTTGGGGGTCAAAGGCCAAGTTTACAGTGACCTCACAAAACATGCTTCTGGCCTCTTAAACATGATATCTCCAGGTTTTCTTCAAGGAATTGCAAATTAAATTTTGACCAGTTGTTACTTGGACTCAAACAATAACTGATTGCAGAGGTCAAAGGTCACAGTGACTTCATACGAGTCTTTAAAAAATGAATAAATGCTGAAACTGCACTGGTTGGTGGAGGCATACAACCACAAGGCAGTCATTCTGGGTTTTGTGGGCACTTGTGTTATCCCATTAAATGGTGACCATTTTCACCGGGGAACCATTTATTGATCCTTTGGTCGAGTGAATGAAAAGACTTTTTCAAGATTTATCTTTTCCCCTCTCTGAAATCTATGTAATCATGCATTCACAGAACTAAACATCATTCAGTGGTTTAAGTAAATATACCAGACATGAGTAATATGAGAAATGTTGCATTGTGGTATAAATCTGTGTTTATTTGTTTTTATTTCAAACAGAGTATTACAGATGGCGGAGGATTTTTAAACATATGTCATTCAAACTGTGGGAAAAGGGCACTCGGTTGTTGACTGTGTACCTACTGCTACTAATGAAAACATAATAAGTGCTTTGGAGAGAAACCAAATTCAGTGTAATATTACTTTATGATAACTAATTACCCTTCAGAGGAAAAAATACAGCAGATCCAAACAGCCTGTTTTTCAAAAAGTGAGTGCTCAGTTAAGTTTATACTAAAATTCCACATCAAATGAAAGAAAAGCCCTCATAAACATCACAGCAGCAGAATAGTAGCCACCACTCTTTCCCGTACTGGTTTGTCACTCAGCTGGAGGTTGTGGTGAACCTTCTCTTCACTTCCCTGTCACACAAAGAGGAAGAGGGCGAGTGATGTAAGAACTTTCAGGGTCCACACATCGCACATTCTAAACCCAACAAATCTGACCTTTGAGTTGATGGCTTTTTATCACTTAGGGCATGTGACACATTGTTTGGAATGTCCCCAATTTGGTCCTTTTAGTTCCCCCCCTGTACATAGAGTCAAACTGAAGAACAACGTGATCTACTATAAGAGTCGTAATGCATCTTTGTGGCAGAGTTGAAAGTAAAACTCTTGAAATTATAGCTCATTATATCTAAATCTGTATGTGCATAAATAAAATATGAAATGATTGCTAACCAATCAGGCCGTTTATCTGTATGTTGAGTTCTGATATTAATTAGTTGATAATAAAATTGGTATTGGCAGGTTTGTAGTAGAGCTGCTACTCATGATTTTTTCATCATTAAGTCTGTTTATTCAAATCTTTTATCATGAAAATGCCCAAAACCCAACACATTCTAACTGGGTGTTCTGCCTTTTTGTTTCAAACCTTCCTGAAAGTACTAATTACTATTTGTACTATTTATAATACTAATAGTATTAATAATTCCAGCTCTAGTTTGAAGTTTGTTTAATGGGACAAACAAATTAAAGCAGAAACTAGCATTTTAGCCCTCTTCACATTGTGAACAAGAAGAAGCTTTGTTGGTAAAGACACTGAGACAGAAGCAGCAGTGATTCAGATGATTCATTGAACATAGAATGTGACTGAATCAGCATTGACCCTGACTCTCGCTGGAACAAAAAAAAAAATACATGTGATTAATGCGGGCCAAAGGGCCAGAATAGTCATGGGCTCAGTCTTAGAAATGACATTTTCAACCATGGCTCTTTCCCCCGCTGCCTGGTAGCAGGAAGAGATGCAACACCTGTACTTGCATTCCTGCAGTGGCGCCCAGTCTTGATTACAATTCTAGGTCCAGTGTGTAAGATTTAGGTGAAAGGGATCTATTGACAGAAATGTAATGTAGAATAATCCTCATGATGTTTTCAATAGTTTGTTTCATCTAAATTGTATGAATTGTAGTTTTCTTTACCCCAGAAAAGGCCCTTTATATTTAAATACTTATATACTTATATTTACATAGAGGGGACCCTCCCTACGGAGGCCACCATGTTTTTAACATTAGTCCAGACTCAATCAAACATTTGATCTTCTTCTTCTTTACTACTTACAGAGAAGTTGACCTCAAAAAAGAAAATGTAAAGATTTATAAAGGCTCTGGTGATGTCTTCTTAATACTCTGGAGTTAAATTTGATGGTGGTTGGTAGCTGCGGGGTTAAACTGAATCCGCATGATTTATTCGAACAGCTTACATGATCAATTACATACCCAACTTGTTCTCGTGAATTTACAGCCTCGTTGACCTTGTCCACATTTGTTGACCGCGTTAATTAATGGGCACAGACACACAGCAATTTGGACAGATGGCATTTATCTGCATCTGCTACTTACTATGCAACTGCTACATTTGAGAATTAAACTGACCAGAGTGCTAGTTATTACTGTACATTTGGTCCTGCAGTGTCTCTTGAGGCCAGTAGATGGCAATATTGCACTAAAAAAACAGCTTCTGTAGAGGTTCGCTGGCTCCTGCAGTGGAGGAGGTCATCACGAGGAGCTGCTGCAGATGTGCTGAACGCTTTAAATTGATTTATTCAAGTTTATCATTTATTACAAATAGTGTGGATATGTCCTCGTTTTCAATCTTGGTTTTGTTTGGAATTGAGAATTTAATTTCAATTAAATGGTGTTAAAATATCCCCTTACATGTATGACCACTCATTATAACATTTCAAGTGTAGGTATCAAGGAAATCATACTTCCATATCTTGACATATTGAAACAGTTAACTTCTATATTTGTCCTCTTTTATGTGGACCTGGAGCATATTGTTAGACATAAGGCCCATTCTCATTAGCATATGCCTGATCTTTTACAACTAGTCATTTTTATGAGTCTTCAATTCAATCGGACCATTATTATCATCAGCTCAACCTCTTGATTTACGGGAACATCTGCTGGTGGCGCAGGAGGCGCGTCTGCGGCGCCCACAACGCATTTCTGATCACTTACTTCAAAATGTCTAATAGAGTTATAACGCAGCGGATTTTTAATAGCCTCCCCATATGTGGACACTTGAACATAAGTCGTATACACACTCACTCACACATATTTATACACACACACACACACACACACACACACACACACACACACACAACTTTAGATTTCCTGCCAGAGATACTTTGCAAACCTTTATGTCTGGCTGCCATGGAGTTAAGTAAATCACAGTATTAGCGTGGCTGGATCATCGGGGGCCCCAACTGACATCAATGTTTTTGGATACCAAGCCGCTGATATTTGGGCTAACAGCGTGTGTTAGTGCATGGGGATATAAATACATGTCGCCCCCGGGGGCCCCGGGGTGCAGTGCGCGCTGGCCCGCATGCCGACCAAGGCAGCCAGACCATGGCTGAGAGACCCGGCCACAATCAAACAAATGTGCTGAAGGATAGCTCCGACCGTGTGTGTGTGTGTGTCCGTGTGTGTGTGTGTTACAGACATTTTATCTCACGCTGTTTCTTATTTATCACTATTTATTGTGTAACGTTGGGGGCTCAAATTTCCCCTTCCACAGCACCGAGACATAAATAAACAGATAGACAATGATGAGACGGTCACGGGGGTTCGGTGTCTAACCTTGACCGTTTCTGACATTTATCAGACCCCGCAACCAGCTCAGCCTCTCGTGTCTGCAGGCTGCAGGTTTAGGTTTTAATTTTGTATCTAAGTCAAGATCATTAGAATTACCAATGATATAATTCTAAGCCAAACTGTGCGCCTTTACTTTAATTTGTGAGGCTCTTAATTGCGCAGTTTCATTGATGCGTAAAAACAGCAGCTCCAACGTGTAAAACTCACTCAATTCCTCAATTTCTTGATAGAAATCGTAATTTTCAGAGATGCCCCCATGATAAAAATAACAACTGTTGTTCTCTCCACTTCATTATAATTAACCAAATAGCACTTATTGAACACATGGCCCCTGACAATTCGATTTGACAATTTACAAATGTAATGATGAGGGAAGCAAACCAGGACTGATGGAGAACATGAGCAGATCTGTAACATCCTCACTTTTCAGCGCACACGTGCAGCTTCACGCTTCCCTGAGCGACCATGCACATTATTTTCTGTTACACTATATTTTGTCTTATTATTGTTTTTGTCACTGAGTTATTTTGGAGTGACTGCAATGTTTTTGGGCAGCAGGAGAGAGCACAGTTTATCTGTAATCCTCATATTTATGTTGGATTCAGCACTTAGTCCCGCAAGATTTATGTAATGCATCTAATCAAAGCTAATTTCAAACCATCGGGCTGTAACAGAAGAAAAACAACTGCGAACCGGGTGCCAGCGTGTGTGTGTGTGTGTGAGCTGAAACTTTCCTTAAGCTCATAATCTGTCGATCAGTTGATTCTCTGAATGAACACTTGGACTGCGCAGCACAGTCACATTTTCTTCTTGAAAGGAAAATAAAACATTTAAATTCCATTTTGCATTCAAATAAAGTCTCTTTTCTTTTTCCTCGTGTAGAATCGGCTGTGCACTCTGAGGGGAAATTTAAAATATGGTTGTTCATGTGGTGATGCTGAATTAATTTGACGCGTAAACACAATTACATTTTGCGCGCAAGTGGCGCAGCCGTTCCTCGTTTTCCTCTCACTCTCGCGCGTAATGATGAGACAAAATATGTTTTATCTAATTTTTTTTAATGATCGGATTTGTGTTGTTTTGCAGAGAGATGCGGGGACGTTTTCATATTGATGTTTCAACCACTCAGCAAGTGTCTGTGGTCAAACTGCGTGGATTAAACGCACGTCCTCCCCTGAGCTGCGTGTTTGATAGTTGTGAATATATTAATTGTCAAGTCGAAACACACACGCACACACCACGCACAGGCACAGCTTCTGACTAAGTGGCCGGGGCGGGACACATGCGTGGGACGAGGCGGGGACAGCAGGCAGGCGGGCGGGCTGGCAGCGTGCTGGTCGGGTTGGTGGACAGCTGATTGTCCGTGTTATTAACTGTGTTTGGAGAGGAGGAGGCGGTGGGGGGCGTTCCTGCTCGGCCTCGCATAGACTCCGCCTCCAACACCTACTAGTTCTCCTCCTGTTTGGCATCCCAGAGATGGTCTAAAGTGATTCCTCAGGGAAGAGAAGGAGCGCAAATCACCGGAGCAGGGAGCTGACGAGGAGCGCAGCGCATGAGCCGCCGCTGGTGCCCGGGACTGCCTTTTTTTAATTGCGCGTAATCTTCCGTCTCATCCATCTGAGCAGAGGAGAGGACTTTGTAAATAAAAAGAACCGGAGGGGAAGCGTTGACTGTTAGTTTTAAAAACCTGACATTTTGCTTGTGTTCCTGTCAGCGGCAGCACCTTGATCCGGGGGACCGTCGCCAACTCGGTGCAGCCTCACATCCTGAGCTCCCCCTTTCATCGCTCCTCATCTTCATAGCTGCTGCTGCTTCCCTCCTCCTCTTCTTCTTTTTCCTCCTGGAGTCGCATGAGGTGCAGCTAACCCTGGATGCTGACAGACAGCTCCCCTCTTCCCTCCGCATGTCGCATCTTTTGTTTACTTTCAGAAACACACGCGCAACTAGACGCCAAGTGTAACAGACCACGCCACTTTGCTCCTGTGACAGCGCGATCAAACAGACGCGAGCAGGAGGGGAGGCAGCGGAGAAAGAAGAAGGAGGGAGCCAAGGAGAGGAGGATAGAGAGAGTGAGGGAGAGAGAGAGAGTGAGTGAGAGAGGGACAGCGACAGTGTTGAAGGTGCGTTTTGATGTTTGGCATCCACGAGAGCATCCAGAGGAGTGGGAGTAGTATGAAAGAGGAGCCCATGGTGGCCGGGATGAACGCGGTTCGGACATGGATGCAGGGCGCCGGGGTGCTGGACGCCAACACAGCCGCGCAGAGGTGAGCCAAGAAGCGGCCGTGGAGCTGCGCTGACACCGGGGCGTGCTTGGAGGACCGGGAGGGGGTGGGGGGTGGAGGGAGATGTGCGGTGTGGACCTCTGCGGAGCGACTGCATCACTCCGGGGGGCAGCGTGCGTGCGTCCCCAGAGGACGCGTTTGTTGGATAACCTCCTATCCCGCTGGCTTTATAATTTTTGTGGCTCAAAGTCCAACATGATTTAATGCTGTGTGTGGCTCTTAGTGATTTAGCACGTTTGTGGAAGGGAAGCACTGTTTCCTCAAAGCACTTTTTTAAAGATGTAAATGTAACTTTGCTGCGTGGAAAGAGTTGGTGTTCATAGTTTTCAGCTCACTTTAGTTTGGCTGTGAGTGTGTTACGTCTCACAGACTGCACGCAGAAATATTTATCCATATTTATAGTTGTTTTTTTAAAATAAAATAATATCACCTAATTTAGTTGGCGAGGTTCAAAATTCAGAATAATTTGATCCACAAAGGCCTGCCATAATGAAAACAGTCAAAGGTATGCCTGCCGCGGCCTCATGCGCGTTGAAACCTTATATACATATTTTATTTTATTTGTTTAATTGTTGCTAAAGTGCATTTCTACGCACTGGAAGCAGTTTTTAATTTAATGACATAGCTGCGGATTTTCCGAGAACATGTGGTTGAACTATATTGGATTTAAAAAGCGTCTTTCTCCTATATGTTTATATATTTATTATCAAATTGAATTAATGTCATTTTAATTGGTGTCGTTGTGGGCGCCGCTGCGTTGTGCTTGTGTCCGCAGCGGAGTGGGTCTCGCTCGGGCACACTTCGAGAAGCAGCCGCCCTCCAACCTGCGCAAGTCCAACTTCTTCCACTTCGTCCTGGCTCTGTACGACAGACAGGGTCAGCCGGTGGAGATAGAGAGGACCACCTTCATCGACTTCGTGGAGAAGGAGAAGGTGAGTGTGTGCATGATTTCACCATGAATAATAAAAAAGAGAACGTCTTTATTTGTGAGTGCATAATAAATAGCCCTGCAGTGTAAACGGTGTTAGTTCACTGACTGATGACTGACAGTGTTGTGGCCTGTTAGACTCTCTGTGATAAACGAGCAGACGCACTCAACTGAAATCTGCTCTGATGTGATTTTAACATGTGGTTTCCTCAGAGCCTCACAGACATTTTATTGTTTTGACTTCCCTTTTTAATCCTCATTACAAAACCTTCAGAAAGAATCTAGTTCAGACGCATTTACACCATCAAGTCCCTAAAAAACCCTTTTTCTACCACTAATGATATTGACTCAGAGTTTGAACCTATATTCCTGCAGGTGCTGTCAGTCAATATATTTAATAAGCCCTTTTTTAAACTCTCGTCAATCTCAGCGTTTGAAGTGTTTTATTGATCTGTTTTGCAAGAGGCGTTAATACTGATGGTTCAACTTTTAGACGCTTGTTTTATTCATCGCCTTGTTTACTATTTACTACTTTCAAAATGTCCTTTTACTGTCGCTCAATATTTATGACACATTCTAACACTGCGTTGTAATTCACTGCAAATAACAAAAAAATAATTATTCATTGTTTTGGTTTTATGCTTCTTAAATGTCTGACAACATTTGAAATATTTTGTATTTTTTAAATAACGTTAATACAGTTTTAAGAGAAGTAGGGTATTTGATTTTTAAGAAGTTTTAAAGTTTACAGAATATATTTTGTCAGATATTAAATACGGTAAGGGTTTTTACGTTGTGTACCGATTTTCTTTCTTTCTTTCTTCTGGCTGTGGATTGATTCAATATAATTATATTTGCAGTTAGAGGAATCTATTAAGTTTAGCCAGTCGAAAAAGATAAAATAATTCTAATAATAATAATAAGGAGGAAGCTGCATCCGCGCACTATGATCGTCCCAGGAGGAGCTGGTTCGCTGTGGTTCGCTCTGACTCTGAGCGACTGTGTTTGGTTTGATTTTCATAGGAAACGACGGGGGAAAAGACCAACAATGGGATCCATTATAGACTCCAGCTCCTCTACAGTAACGGTGAGTTTGGATTCCACAGTTTTTTTTTATGGAGCAGAAACAAAAGCAGAGAGGGAGATGCGACAAAGCAAAGTGAGGAAACTCAGGAAACAAATGTTTTACGAGGTCAGATCGTTTATCTTGGTGTTTTATTTATTTAACTCAACTGTTTTCATGAAGGAGCTGTGGTGTAATATTTAATAAAATGCTTTAAATGTTATTATTTACACTTTTTTATCATTAATAATTCTGTTACTTTTATTAAATGTTTTACTCATCTTCTCTGGTCAACAGCCCAACAGCAAAATAAAATACTTCACGTCCTCCTTTTTAGCATTTATTTTTTTAGCCATGTTGCCTTGATTGAATAATTAAATTATATTGATTATAATTTAGAGGGGGTGAAAAAACAATGTTGTTGTTGTTCTTCCTGTTGTTCCACATTTTCACAATTAAGTTCTCATTAAGCAGTTTTAGAGATAAGAATCAGCAGGATAAAGAAGGTAAATTAAATGTTCTACAGTTCTAAGCAAATTTTGACAGCGAGCAACAAACACTGGGAGTCATTAGGACCAGTTTGTGCTCATTGAGTTTTCCTGAAGTGGCTCACAGGGGGAAGTCAGGATGAATAAAACTTGTGATCTGAAGCGTCGCCTTTTAGATGTGACATGAGATCTGCCAGTTGCATTTTAACTATTCCTCTCTCCCTCTCTTTCTGTGTGTGTGTGTGTGTGTGCACAGGGATCAGGACAGAGCAGGACTTGTATGTTCGTCTCATTGACTCCATGACTAAACAGGTAAGAGGTTCTGTGTTTAACTATGAAGCTTCCCAGAATGAAAACTCTGCCATCAGCTCCGTGGTTGTGTTGGTCTGAATGTTGGCCCCCACCTCCCGCCGCCCCTCTCCTCCTCTTGCTACACCCCCCCGCCCCAGGCCCCCATGCATGCCTGTGTCTGAGACCCTCAACTTCAGCACAGCACAGCCGCCTTGATAAACGACCTGTCTTACCTGTGGAATACATTTACAGAGGCCTAGAAAAGTAGAGGACATGTGTCCTCATACTCTGCCTCTGCACAGCAGCCAGTAAGTGGGGACGGTGTGTGTGTGTGTTTTTACAAGCGTCAGGCAGTATGGATGTGTGTGTGTGTGTTGTGTGACTGCATGATTGTGCACATGCAGTGTGTGAATATCTCAGCGAGGTGCAGAGGCAGTTGTGTTAGTGTTGTGAGGGAGACAGTGATGCATGCCAGCTCACTCTTTGAGGACCTTGACCCTCATTTCCTCAATGTGAAACAGAACAAACTATCCCACAGTTGTGTTATGGCCAATTCAATCACACAAAAGAAACACAGAGCAGCACATGTGTGGGGTGGTACACACTCAGGGAATACTGCACGAGGAGGAATTCGATAACGAAGAAAATAAAGCCTCTTCAGCGCTGTTTTGATATCAGGTCTTTTTGTTTTGCCAATTCTGCCTCTAGTGCCATTAGGCTTGAAGAGAGTTTGCCTTAGAATGAAAGGAGTAGGAGGGGATGTTGTTTGTGTGTGCACATGGACGTGTGCGTTTGCATGGTTATCAATGTGTGTGTTTATGAGTGTGTGTGCAGGGTGATCACAGCCCTGGAGAGCATGTTGAGTGGGGTTGGAGGGGTAACCAGACTAGATTTTTGGACGCTGTGCTGCATGGACCAGATGGTGCACTATACTCCAGTCTGGCAGTCCAACTGCTCACTGTACGCTGCACATAAACACTTGTGCCCACACACACAAGCACAAATGCACAGGCAAGAGTAGACACACACACGCACTGGCACACACACACAAATAATTTCTCTGTTACTGTCTCTGTCAGAACTGAGCGTTCCTGTTCAGGAGAACTGGATTCCCACGATACACACATTTGCCAGATTGACAACACTACTCCCAGATGAAAGACACACACACACACACACACACACACACACTCACGCTCTCTTCTGTTTTTTATTTGCGCCTGCATCGTGCTTGCTTTTTTTTCTTTCAGCGCGCCACATAATAAAATATAAATAATTTTCATTTGAATTTTCTGTGATTCTCTTCCCTCTTTAGGCGATTATCTATGAGGGCCAGGATAAAAATCCCGAGATGTGTCGGGTTCTGTTGACCCACGAGATCATGTGCAGGTAAGACAAAAAACAGGTTATGACTTTTTTTCTATCTGGCTACGTCTTGATTGTGGAAGAAGATGAATGTTTTTCTCACATTGGGACTGTCTCTGGTGGTGTAAAGAGGGGGCAAAGACATGAGGAGCACGACTAAATTACAATAGGAATCTTATCATTTTCCTCAAAGTGGGTTGGGAGATGGGCCCTGGCCTATTTTTTGTGTGTGTATGTGTGTGTGTGTGTGTGTGCATCCTTCTCATGTTCAGCTAATTAGGACAAGGAAAAGCTCATTACTCAAACCCATCCTCCTTAGTCTGTGTAATACATGCAGTTTGCTGTGTCCTGACAGTGACTTATGTGCCGACTCGAATTACACATAAAATACAGACACACACATTCACCCACACTCGCACACACTGAAAAGTAGTAAGCATTTGGAATCAATGAAAAGCGTCCGTAAATGCACCGCACAGCTCACAGTGACCGTCCCTCACAAAGCCACCATGTAGAAATACATGTAGAGGTGCATGTAGAGAAATGGCCGGTGGCGAAAGTGCAGCCACTTCCTGGTTATCACACAAGGCAATTTAGACCTCTTGTTTTCATATGCTGCAGGAAACGGTCGAGATCAGAAATCTGATCTGGCTCTCCAAGCCTCCTGTCCTGAGGGACCCAAGAAAGCACAGAGAGGGGGGTCAATCTCTCTCTCTCTTTCTCCCCCCTCGTCTCTCACTCACTTTTATGTGTGTCTCCTCCCATACACATCCAGTAGATGCACTCGTGCTGTCAGACACAGGTACACACAGACATGCGTAATCCATACACAGACGTGGAGAAAAAAAAGGTAGACACGATGATACCTTTGGGTGGGTGGGTGGGTGAGAGGGGGTGACGTCTCACAACACATTGTTAAATTGTGCTGCAGTCAAATGATTTAAAAAAAAAAAAAAAAGGACTCGTCACATCAGTATGCAGCCCCCTTCTACCCAGAATGCACTACTCCCCGGGTCCAGTGGGACCACTCTGTGACCCACTTCTGAGAGCGAGAGAGAGAAAGAGGGAGGCAGGATAGAGGGAGGGGACCAGAGCTGAGGAAAAATAGAGAACATAAGATGTCTGGTTGTGTGATGTCTGACAGAAATGGAGCTAACCTGAGCCCTGGAGGCTAATTCAAGTTTATATCTACCCTCATACAAACGCGCTGTTTTTGCTCTTCCATTCCAAACTTTGCCTAAAATCTCCGGGCTGATCTCCCCGGCTGATCTCACCCGCTGTAGCACCAGAGCCCCGGTCTTACCTCCACAAGCCCTGCAGAAATCCAACTCATGCTTCTTCTTCAAGAGTCTCACGCCCTTTAACTCCTTTCTCTTCCCTGAGTTGTACCTTATCTTGCTCCTTGTGTTGTTAACATCATGACAACTAACTCTGCTTTGTCTCTACCACCCCCCACCCTCCTCCTCCCCTTCTTTTTTCACCCCTGTGCAGCCGATGCTGCGATAAGAAGAGTTGTGGCAACAGGAACGAGACCCCGTCAGACCCCGTCATCATCGACAGGTAAGCAAACTCTGCCCTTTGACCCCGGCTGACGTGACGCTGCGCTGTCATCGCAGCACGTACGGCTGTTTCTGAACCAGGGTAGTGAGTGTGCAGAATACATAGGTGGAAACTGTTGCAAAAACACACTAAGTGTAAAATCATAACAACATTTCATTTAAATTTCCAGTGAAGTCAGCACATATAAGTTATTTTCCCACGTGTGATTTGGCTGCTACATGTAACCTGCAGGCCTAATAAAACAGGCCAAAGGTTGTTCGCATTTTCTGCAGTCATAATCGTGTGTGCAGGCAAAATGTGTGAAACAGCGATAAGTAATATTCCCTGTGTGTGCATGTGCGGGTGTGTGTGTGTGTTTGGAAGATCAATCACTGAGCTGTTGAACTTCAAGTGTGGTCTGACAGTGTTTGTGTGGTTGTGCTGATGACTCCGCTGATGAGCGTTATTGGCTGCAGCCTGGCGTGTGTGTGTGTGTGTGTGGGTGTGTGTGTGTTTAAATCTCATGGTGGGACGGGGTTAGTTTACCGACGGTTGACACTAACACACTTTTTTCTTTGAGTACACACCTTTCCCCTTCCATCATAAACTACCTCTGACTGATCTGCAGCAGCTCACATGATTTATGGCCAGTCGGAAAAAAAAGAGCAGCCCTGTAGATTTACAGTGTGGCCTGTGCTGTGTGTGCATGTGTGTGGCACACATGTAGACAAACGGGGTGAGGGGAGATTATTTGTTTATACTTGAGCGTTTGCTGAAGCGTGCAGATTTAAGAGGCGAAGAAGAGGTGAAGTGATCTTCCACAGAAAAGTCACCGTCTCTGTGTTTTTTGTATTATCAGGTGAATAGAAAGGAATTGTGTTTGATTTTTGTTTTATGTGCTGATTTGAATTTGTCACATTCACGTGTATTTGTGTTAATGAGGCAGTGACCTGTGCTATATGATGAACACAGCTGTCCTGTTCTTGCTGCTGCTCTGTCAAATACTCTTTACCTGTGTATGTATGTGTGTGTGTATATCTTTGTGTTTGTGTGTGTGCATGTGTGTGTGTGTGCGGGCGCCACCCTTGTTCCGCTCCAGTGAAGCGGAAGGCCTCACCTCAGTGCTCCCTGAGACAGCTGCACCCCACCACATGGCCTCAGACAACACGCCTGCCCATCACTCTGTGCCATATTTCTGATTTCTGTTTCCCTGTGTGCATACTTGTTGAATTTCTCATCTGTGCCCCCTCCATTGCACCGTCTTAGCGGGGGGGGGGCCACCATCTTGGCTCCATGGGTAAACTTCTCCCTTGCAGTTGCCCCGCACTTTTTGAGCGGAGCTACCTTGGTGAAACAGGCTGCTGCAAACAGCTTTCTTTCCCACACTGAGCATGTGTTGTGGCCGCTCGCTGGCGGTATTCCCCCGGCGCCCTCGTGGCTCAGGTGTGAGGGCAGCATTAACGAACAACAAATTAGAACGGGGGGGAGGAAAAACAACAGCAACATATCTCAGTTTTCCTCTCCAGCGAGCTCTCTTTTCTGGACACGAAAATAGGTCAGGTGAGAGGAGAGTGGTTGTGGGGGTAGGTAGCTTGTTTTAAAGAGTGTTGGGGGGGTGTGAAGGGGTATAAGGAGAGGAGGGTTTATACGTTTGCTCGTTTAGTACGACTATATTCTTGGCAGTTGTAATAATCAGAGATTCATACACAAACAAACAACTGTGAAGCTGAAACTGACTCAATTACCAAGAGTTTCCCTCCTTCAAATTCATAAAGAAATACCATCAGCACTCGGCCCCTTTCCACCCTTGAAGTTATTTAGTTCGTTAAATAAGGGCTCGTTAGCCCTCTGCTGTTTCACAGAGATGATTAGATTTTACAGCCCTAATTAGCCGGGCTAGCTCTAACTCTTCTGGAAGAGTAATGGGTCTGATTGCCTAATTAGCTCTCTCTCGTTAAAGACGGGAGAAACAGGCCACTGCAGCAAAACCGCATGAACGAGGAAAAATAAAGTCAGCTAATGAGAAACTTATTTGATTGTTAGGAGAACAAATCTGGTACAGTGTGGAATCGGCGGCGCTCTGGGTGCTGTACTCGCTCTCTGGGAGGATCACTCTCTCACCGCTGTGTGAATCTCGAGCTCCTGTTATAAAGAGAATTTGTTTGGGCTTTAAAGCACTGTCGAGGAGCGACGTGATTCCGATTTTAATTATGGAGCATTTGTTTATGCCACGATGAGCAGAAAAGCACTTAAGGATGACTTAGATTTTTACTCGAGTTGAAAGAAACATCCCTCAGCGATATGTCGTGTTCTCTGGTTGTTTTCGTTGAGGCCTGTTAGCGGCCGAGGCAGCGTTCAGTTTCACAAGAGTTGTTGTCATCTCCGACCGTCTCAGATGAGTTTCAAAGCCCATCTGATGTGAATCAGCTCGTGCCGGAGATGAAGACAGCTCGTGCCATATTTTATGTATTGAATCTCGGAGGTGGTGAGTGTTTGGGGAACTTCAGAGGGACCCTGTCATGACATGTTGCGTCTGTGCTCGACATCGTGCAGGGTGGGGGGTGCAGCTGAGAGGTGAGAGACTCCCGTGTGCCTCTCTGTGTCATCCCCCAGGGAAACATGTGTGGTCTACTTTAGCCTCTTACAGCGGTAGGATAATATGAGGGGAGCCCTTAACCCCCCCACCTCCACTTCCACCTCTCTCAGTCAGTCCTGGTTAGCGTGGGGTTAATCGTATGCAGCCACTGCCAGTCAACCTATCATGTGCCTGGATGGGCCTCAAATCACAAACACGTTTTCCTCTCACCCATGTTACACCTTTGCTATCTCTCCGCGTAGCCCCTCTTAAATCTGCCCCCCTCCCCTCTGACACAGAACTGCTGTTGTTAATTTTCATCCATGTAATTGTGGACTAATCTCTTGGCCTTGCTCGCTTTGGGGGTATGACTGTCCCTGCGGCCCTGTGTGTCCTACCACCACCTGTGTCCTGTGTCCCTTTCCTGCCCGTCCAGTTCCCCCAGGCCTGCCGCAGGGTGTCCCCGCAGGCAGGGAGAGCCTCTCCGGAGGAGGGGGAGAGAGACTCTGTGTTACCAGAGATAAGAATCCGCTGGGTTCGCCCTGCATATCCCATGATCCCCACTTCCATTCACAGTGAGGGGAGTTGTGCAGCAGTGGGGTTGAATTTACATGCACACAATGTTATTTCAGGTTTATTGCTGTTTTTGAGTGTGTGTTTGTGTTTGCACACACTCCTCGCAGCCCGCTGTTGATGTGGCCCATTTCCTCGCATGCCGTGTCTGTGCTTGTGTATCCGCGTCGATGTTGGTTATTTCCCCAGGAGTGTGTGTGTGTTGATAGAGGCCACTTCCTGGCAAGTGTGTGTGTGTCTTGAGTGAAGAATGTCGGGCAGGAAGTGCTCCTCCCGGGGAGGATGATGTCATGGCCGGCGGCTTCCTGTTCTGCGAGCGGAGTGGAACGAAGTCTCAGCTTCATGGTGGGTAGTTAGCACTTGTGGACCAGAAGCACGCTTCATGGTTTTTGGTTCGCGTCTCAGCTGCTTCTGGTGTGCACCTGGATCATCACCCGATACATCTGGAAAGAAAAAAATAAACTTCTCTCCCTGTGTTTTGAGGATTGTTGCATTTTTCAAGCTAAAGTATTTCTTGCTTGTCACTCTTCGCCTCTTTGTCTCCCTTTCTAGTGGGGAACCCCATCATTGTTTTGGTAGTTATGTTTAGATGCACTTCCTGGGGTGAGAGGTCATGTGTTGTCTTGGCTGGGCTAACGTGTGCTAGTGAATAATGTATGTCATTGACTTTATGTCAGCGCTGCCAGCCCCCCAAGTCGAGCCCACCCATGTTTAATTCATCCATCTCGTTTGTGTGTGCGCTTGTGTATATGCGCATGTATTTGTGTGTGTGTCTGTGTGTGTGTGTGTGAGAGAGAGAGCACAAACATGTATATGTGTGTGCCATTTAGAGGCCCAGTGTGCACCTGTCCAGCCATTAGCCTCCCTTCTCATTTGCATTTGATGCTAATGTGGTTTACTGGCTGCGCCTTCCGTCCCCTCACTGCAGTTTCACTTTCATATCCATGACTGTGTTATGGTGACAAGGTGAAAGCACACTTGCAGTGCAGTTATCCTTCATCCCTCTGACTGAATTCAGCTCTGATCTACTGGTTTCTAACCACTGAGGTCTTCATTGTTGCGCATCTATGTTTTATTTCACGCAGGATTCACCCTCCCTCCTCTATTTAACTTTTTTTCACAGCTGAATTTCCTGTTGTTTTAAACACTAGCTTGATATTTCCCTCTCAGACAAAGAGAAGCCAGAAACTGAGTCACAAGATCCTGAGAGTGATAGATCTCAACAGCGTGGTTCCTTCTGGGAAAAATCAATTCTGACTAGAGATTTTGACTGCCAGCCACAATGTTTTAACCATCCGAGGTAGACTCACCATGAGCTACGAGATTGACGTTACATTGAAATGTTTATCATAACTTAGGCACGCTGGATGTTGTTGGAAAGGGTTGGTTTATGGGATGCGTAGTTTAAAAAAAATGTGTTGCTCCACCTCAAATGTTTCATGGTCACGACTCATTCCGTCTTCCTGGTTCTACGCTCTCTGATGTTTACATTTTTGAAACATCCATGGAGAAAATGAATGGGAAATTCACTTACAGATCCAGAGCTGCTCTAAAAGTGGGTGGTCACTGTTATGCTCTATTGTCTTGTTCATGTGGCGGATTACAGTAGCTGCTCTGAACCTTTATTAACTTATATGATCTTCCCTCAGCTCATTTTGGGAGGAGAGAATGTGCATTGCTGTTTTCTTCTTGATGTGCTGTTTCTTTTTGTGCAGTCTTAGGAGGGACAGCTGCATTAGATGTTATGGGAGGCTTTTGAAAAGGACCAGGCCCTGAGCTGGTTGTGGTGTTTGTGCAGTGCTCAGGGGCAAAGAGGCAGAGAGAGTTGCTGGCTCATCGATATGCAGGCAGAACTCCCCTCCCTCAGGTGCTGGCTG